AGAAGGTTTTGTGGGATCAGGAGGCCACCATTGCAGGAACATCTAGGAGAATGAGAAAAGTCAGTATCCAAGAGGTTATATAATTAGGAAGAAACAGAATGCTTAGTGGGATACATCCACCATCATTGCCAAAAAGCTTGTGAGTGAGGGGGATGGAGATGGTAAATTAATGATATAAAGTTGGAACGGTGTGAGGTGTAGACCAAGGAGAGAAGCAGAGCTCCGAGTGAACCTCAAGCTAGAGGGTGCAGTTTTCCTTTTCTCTTCTCTTCCTCCCCCACGGAAAACGGCCTCAGGTCAGGTTAACAGTGTCCGCGTCTGGGTACACAATAAATCCCGAAAGAATGTCGCTCTGTGTCTGCTGCGCCTGTGACAATGCCTGACTGGCATCAAGGTGCTCGAGCAAAAGTCAAGCAGGTGGAAGGCAGGGACGTGGGTACCGCTGGGAGGAACGCTAATCGCCAGGTAGGAGCAGGGAGTTTTGTTTCCAGCTTTGTTGGTGCGCCGCCTGCGCTGCCCTTCTGTTTGCGTGCATCTTTCCATCACTTACTCACAGGACGCGTGGCACTCGAAGAAGGAAGCAACGCACCACTCCAGGTGATATCTACTAAATCACTCCGTTCTCAACCTCAGACCCACTCAATCCAGCTTACCAGTCTGACAGCATTCCGGCTCCAGGTCCCCAGTACACGCGTTGCAGCCATCTTACTCCGGAAATAGCCACCGGCCGCCCAGCTGGGAGAGACGCCTCCTCCAAGTAACCAATCCCGACACCCGAGACGCACCTCCCCGAGCGGCCAATGGGAGCGAAGGAACGAGCCTCCCACCCAGCAGCCAACCAGGGTGCGGGGCGGGGCCGGTTGTAGCCCCACGACTCTGTGGAAGAGGATTGGGGAGAGGGTAGAAGTGGGGCAGCTCAAGTGGCCAGGTGTTGCTGTGTGAGTACACACGCACCAGCAACCATCAGATAATGGAGAAATCACGTTTAGGGACTGCAGAGATGCCTCTGGCAGAGGACGAGGGTTCAATCTCTAGCACCCACATCATATGGCTCACAACTTCCTACAACTCCAGTTCCAGGGGATCCCATACCCTCTTCTGGCCATCTCGAGCGCCTACTGCATGCATGCGCTCGACATACACACACTTAGGTTCGCACATACATACATCATCATTCTTTTTTAAAAATTAAGGGCACACACTGAAGACCTGAGGGATCAGTAGCAAAGTGTCCTTACTGGTGTTGTGCTGTTAACTACACTGAAGGCAGAAAAATAGAACGTTTTTATATTTTGTAACAAGGTTCTGAACCACGACTTTTTCATAAGTCCATACTGGAACACTTGTCCATGATTAGCATTTCTTCTTCCTGTGTAGTGTCCTTTAGGATGCCCAAACTGGCTTTTCACATCTAAAATATACATGCCATCACATTGTCTTTCAGTCTTACAGAATGTGGTCAGATGCAGCAGCCTAGCATAAGAAATGAGTCAAAAACTTAAAACCCTGAATTGCTTTGCCTCTTGGGGAAATGTCAAATTGAGCCCAGGTGGGACAGTAAAGGGACCATCAGAAACCCAACACTGTGAAGGTGCATGGGGGGGGGGGTAGAAAGAGATACGGTACTATGAATCAAAGGCCAGTCAGTCTGAACCACATGGTGAGATTCATGCTTTAAAAACAAAACCAAGGGGCTGGAGAGATGGCTCAGCCGTTAAAGGTTAGGCTCACAACCAAAAATAAAACAAAACCAAGAGGGAGAGAGAATAAGAGAGAACTAGAGTTTTCTTTAATAGGTGATGTATATATACATGAATACAGTTGTATAAATGTCCAGTGACATTCAATGTTCTTGCTTCTTAAAAATTTGTACCAATATCTAAGGGATTAGAGAGAATACAATGGGAGGAAGCAGGGGCAATATTTCCTCAGCATTGGAAAATCTTACTGGTTTATTTGAGAGAATGTTGTGGGGTATTACCAAGAGACTGCTCAGACTTGTGTTTAAGCCAATAGAAAACCATTTTCCTTACCTTTTCTTAATCACAAAAGTAGGAGAATTTCATGGATTGTTAGATTCTTCTATATACCCTTTTCCCATTTGTTCCGAGACTAACACTGAGGCAGCTACTATCTTTTCTTGTGTAGGTGGCCAATGACCCACCCAGGCGTGATCCTTGGAAAGTCAGGGATTCAGGATCAGCATGATACTTTTCAGCAGCTTCTTACGTTCTTTTGAGTAAGAACTGCATTTTGTATCGGCAGCTTTTCTTTCTTTTATTTGTTTTTTTCAAGAAAGAGTTTTGCTGTGTAGCCTTGGCTGTTCTAGAACTCACTTTGTAGACCAGACTGGCCTTGAGCTCAGAGATCCACCTGTTTCTGCCTCCTGAGTGCTGGGATTAAAGGGTGCATCACCACACCCAGCTACTGTGTCAATTTGCCTGAACTTATGCTTTAACTCCAAATAGGGATGTGAGATCTGAGGACTCTTTAACATTTGGCTTTCACATCTTGACTTACATTGCTTTGTTTGTTTTGTTTTGTTTTGGTTTGGTTTTTCGAGACAGGGTTTCTCTGTGGCTTTGGAGGCTGTCCTGGAACTCGCTCTGTAGACCAGGCTGGCCTCGAACTCACAGAGATCCGCCTGCCTCTGCGTCCCGAGTGCTGGGATTAAAGGCGTGCGCCACCAACGCCCGGCCTTACATTGCTTTGTTATCCTATGCCATTTTATGTGTCTCAGACTTGCTTTCTGAGATAATCTTTGTTTTTGAAGTGCACACGGTTTTTTTGTTTTGTTTTTTTGGGTTTTTGAGACAAGGTTTCTCTATATAACAGCTCTGGCTGTCATGGAACTTGCTCTGTAGACCAGGCTGCCCTCAAATTCAGAGATTCCTCTGGCTCTGTACAGTGCTGTTATTAAAAGCATGCACTACCAAGCCTGATTGGGGATCTGTTCTTTGGAAATTCATTTAGAAGGCATATGTAGAGCTGGACCTGGATCCCTTATTGGTCAAAGATAGGAACACCAACCCCACAGCTTTTATTGTGGTCATTAGCATAGGACTATATAGACTTGCTTTTATTGTAAGAGTTATTAGGGTCAGAGCTTATGCCCTGGAAGCCCTAACAAGCCAGGCTCAGCCACTCATCTTCAGCAAGCCATTTTAAGAGACTAAGAGAGGAAGGGGTAGGGAGAAGAGAAAAGGAGAAGAGATAGATAGAGAGAGATGGGGGGTATTTATGCAATGTAGCCACATTGGGGTGAGTTAAGGAATAAGAAAATACAATGACCCCCTTTGTGGCGGTTTGGAAGAAAATGGCCCCCAGAGAGAGTGGCACTATTAGTAGGTATGGCCTTGTTGGAGGAAGTATGTCACTGTGGGGGTGGGCTTTGGGTTCTCCAATGCTCAAGCTACGTCCAGTGTCACAGGCCACCTCCTTACCTTCTGATCAAGGTCGGTTACAATGTTATCTATAGTTTCTTGGCTGGTTTCTACACCATACTTTTATCCACTTTGTCCTACCACCAAGAGAAGCTATAATGGTGCAAACAGATCAGAGCTAAGGATTCATGGGCAGAGTTAGAAGTTAGAAAGCACAAGCTGCGGTGGAGACACGGCTCTCGAGAGGGTAGAGTGCTTGTTTGGTGTGCAGGAAACCTCAACACCAATCCCCAGCACTGTGGTAAACAAATAAATTAAAAGGATAAGCTTTCTTCAGAGGAACCTAACATGTAAGATAATCAAGGTACCGCAGAGGGCTGGAGAGAGGCTGCTTTTCTGAAGGACCCAGGTCAGATCTTCAGCACCCACTTTGTGGGTCACCATCCTTTGTGACTCCAGCCCCAGGGAATTCTATGCCTTCTTCGGGCCTCCGTGGGCACCAGGCATACATGTGGTGTGCAGATGCATGTGTAGGCAATATATCGATACACATAAAAAACTAATTTTTAAAAAAGTACAACGTTTACATTCTGTTCCCAAAGCTACAGCCTTGCTTCAACTTCTCATTATTTCTTGCCTGTAAAATTACATCACTGGTATTTCTTCCTTTAGGCTCTTAGGCCTCTAAGTCATCTTCTTCATACTGATAAAGGACTTGTGCCTTTCCCTTTGGTTAGCAGACTATGAGACAATGAAGTTTTTCTTAAGAGTCTCACACTGGGACAAGGGAAAATCTGGGGTCCTCATGCCAACCAGAGGGAAAACATTTCTGAAAACTGCAAGTCCACCTTGCAGGAGAGACTGAGTCAATGATGGACCGGTTTTGGCCCGGACCCCCCCTACTTTTTTTTTTTTTTTTTTTTTTTTGGTTTTACGAGACAGGGTTTCTCTGTATTGTTTTGGAGGCTGTCAGTCCAGCCCGGCCTGTTGCCCCCTACTTAAACCTAAACTTTACATCAGGACCCTGAAGATAGACTTGGTCTACTTTTTCTCTTCCCAATCGGACCATATTTCACAAATTTCCGTTTCTGCTTTTCATTATTATTATTATTATTATTATTATTATTATTATTTGATTAGCCATGAGAAGGGATGGCTGAACCTACTTTGTTAGGGCTGCCAGAGCCCAGGCTCTGACGTTAACAAGTAAAGTAACCATAGCTAATATTCCAAATCTCAACTATGAGTACTTCCCTGATTAGTATCTTGGAGCCTGTTCTAGATTGGTTAGAAGTAATCTATCCATTTCCAGAATATCTAGTTAGCACAATACTGAGATTAGAAGATAGTGATGTTTTCATCACACAATTCAGATTCATTTCCCTGTCTTTCAGGTACTCGAGGATGCTGGGAGGAAGAGCTACACCCACTGTGGAAAGAGATTAACACCGGCCTGAGGGACAACTGAAGAATGTACCTGTTGGGGAAAGGTCTTCTGGAACCTGAAGCTTCGGCTGTGTCACCCCCTTGCGGTCAGTCCAGCTCCCTGCGACTTTGGGGACACAGACCGACTACTCCCTGCGCAGCCTCTTTGAGCGCCGGGCAGCGCGCATGCGTACAGACTGCGTGCCCGGTCCACGGAGAGATTCGCTCCCGCAGGGAGGGTTTTCCCGGAGGCACTGATTCTTTCTTTTTCCGGCAAGCTCGGCCCGGAAGCGCAGTGTCCCGGCTGCGGGCTTACCGGCTCCTCGTCCTTTCCCGGTGGCAGTCGGGGCGTGGTCGCTGCGGGCCGGGCTCACGCGTGCCAGCGATGGAGGGGCAGCGGGTGGAGGTGGACGGCAGCATCATGGAAGGGGTGAGTGCGGGGCTGCGTGGGGCCGGGGCGAGGCGTGGCGGTGGGGCATCCATTCACCGACTCTCGTTTCTTCTCCCCGGTGCTCTGCAGGGCGGCCAGATCCTCCGAGTCTCCACCGCCCTGAGTTGCCTCCTGGGCCTCCCCTTGCGCGTGCAGAAGATCCGCGCTGGCCGCAGCACGCCGGGCCTCAGGTACCGAGGGCGGGCGGGGAGTCGGGCCTGACAGAGTCTGAGTCGGCGGGCTGGGAGACCCGGGATCGGAGCCCGCGGTGTGGGCCGGAGGATGCCCCGGGCAGTGTCCAGAGTGCAGCCCTCGCCCTCTTTTCCTGTCCCTAAGATAGGCTGCGGGTTGTCTTTGGGACGCATTGAAACCGGGTAGTTTGTCCACTGGTGTTTTCCTTGTAGGATCTCATTCTCATTCTTAGTCTTACTGCAAGATCTCATCTAGCTCAGGGTAATCCCGAATTCCCTGCATGGCACCTTGAACTTTTGATTATCCTGCCTCCATCTCTCAAATGTTAGAATTAGAACAGTGTGCCACCATGCCCAGTTCTGGGAACAAAAACCTAAGGCCTCCTCCATGCTATGCAAGCACTGTACGCACTATGCCCTCAATCAGTCAGTCAGTCAGTCAGTCAGTCAGTCAGTCAGTCAGTCAGTCAGTCAATCAATCAGTCAAATTGTTAGCACACACCCTCACAACCTCCCTTTAAACTAAATATCTTTAAAGGATCTTATTTAAACGATCACATTTTTGTGGATTGTGGCCTCAACATAGAAATTTAGGGAATAATACAAGATTCAGGCCATACAGGTGTCATGAGTTGATTATTCAGTGGAATGCAAGCAAGGGTTAGGGTTAGGTAGTTTTATTTTTCCCTTTTTGCATGCTTGGGGTTTGTAACAGTTCATCGGTGTGTGTTTGTAGCCTAAATAGCCAGTCTTGGAACCTTTAAGAAGTTGCCCATAAACGGTGAGTCCAAGTGCATTAAAAACTCCAACTGAAGCTCTGCCACTGAAAATACCACACTTGCTTTCTGGCCGTTGCTTTTGTAGCTATGTCATAGAGTGGGGTATGGGCAGTCTGATCACACACATCTTGATGCAGTATTATGACCTGAAGGCCTCAGCATTTATCTGGACTGGAAATGGTTCGTGATTTGTGTGATGGGCACCTGGACGGGGCAGAAATCGGCTCAACAGAGATAACCTTCACACCAGAGAAGATCAGAGGCGGAATCCACACGGCAGATACGAAGACAGCGGGGTATGTCTCACTTAATACTCCATCCAGGCCTCTCAGATGTAGGTCCTGTTGCTTCCTGGGGATGCTCTTTAACCCTTTCGAGATTCAGTTTTCTCCCACTTTAAAATGTAAATAATAGACCTTTCAAGGTTCAAGACAGTGGATGTGAAACTTCGAGTGCCTACCTGTTGAGCTGTAGCATTTATTTATTGAGACAGAGTTTCTCTGTGTGGCCCTAGCTGTCCTGCAACTCAATCTGCAGATCAGATTGGCCTCAAACTCAGAAGTCTACCTGCCTCTACGCCCTGATATTGGGATTAAAGGCATGTGTCACCGTACCCGGTAGTTGTAGCTATTACTATTTTCAGATTTTTTTTTTGAGACAAAGTCTCCTATATCATCCACTCTGATGCTGAATTCATGATTCTCCTATTCCGATATCCCAGGTGCTGAGCTTATAGGCTGGTGTCACTGTACGTGGTTTCCCCTTCTTGTCTTAATAAACATCTGTTTGGCTCTAGGAAGTTTTGGAGACTTGCCTTGCATGTCCAAGATCCTGGGTTCAATCTCTAGCACTGCCAGAGGGGCAAAATGCTCAAGTCTAAAAATTTTAGATATCCTGATTACTCCTATTCCCCTTGGGATGGAGCTGGGGACATGGCTCAGTGCTGGAGTACTTGATCAGCATGTAAAAGTACTTGGGTTCAATTCCCACTACCAGAAAGCAAACAAAAGAAGACTAACAAAACCCCAGCCTTTTGAGAAACGGTTATCTTAACAAATTTCTAAGTATTTCATGTCATCCCACAATAACAGCAGAATGACCATAGCAGAATGTGGAGAGGAACCAGTGTTTGGATTGCTTCTGTGAGCTATTTGGCTGATTGCATCCACCCTTTGCCCTTGGTACTGGAGCGCTAACCCATTGCCTCAAGCCTGCTGGGCATGTTCTTCGCCACTGAAGTTCAACCCCAGCCCTGACAGCCTTTTTAAGTAGCCTTTTCTTTTAACCATTATGTTCTGTTATTAAGAATTTGACGGAGCAAGACACGATAATTATAAACCTTTTGTCAGTTCACAAGTAGCTTTTCAAATGAATTATGATTATTTTAGGAAGATGTTTAGTAACAAGTGAGATCTGAGCTATGGTATAAGTAGACTTCTGTGCAGAGGGGCCTGGGATTGGGCCTAAGATGAGATCTGTCAAGAGAGAACTTTTCCTAAGGTAAGGAAAGAATTTTCAGGTATTTTACCATTAGCCTGTTATTTGTACAAACAAGAAGGAAAAAGTCATAGTTATCCTAAAAATTAACTAAATCCATTGTAGAATTTGAAGCTGTAAGAGAAAGCATTTATTCCAAACCTTCCATATTGTGTGATAACAAAATATCACACATCACTTCCATGTTGTGAATTAGGGAGTCAAACCACACTGGTGTTAAGTGATTTGCCCGAAGTCTTTGAGTTAGGGTAAGGACTAGCATTAGAATGTAAGCCTCTTGCCTCCTACTTTTTAAAAATTTCGTTTATTTGTGTGTGTGTGTGCGTGTGCATGAACACTGCGGAGTGTGTGGGGGTCAGAGGACCCATGGGAATCATTTCTGTCTTCCTACCGTCTTGGTCACAGGAATTGAACTCAGGTTCAAGGCTTGTGGCACGTGCCTTTCCTGGCTAAGGCATTTCTCCATCCCTTGCCTCCTAATATATTAGCAAGTGAGAGAACTAAGTTTGAAGTTGATAGTCCAGCTCCACATAGGAGATGAATAGTTGAAGAGTCCCAGCGGGAAAGCCCACTTTCCTTTTTATCATACTTAGTGAATTTTACCTCTGGTTGTGATTGCAATACTGTGAGTTTTGTCCTATGTCTTGTTTTGTGGTTCCTTACTCTTCTAAAAGTGAGGTTTTCATTACTGCTTTCAGAATCTAATTTTATCTAGGAGAATGTAAGCACTTTAAATGTTGGATTGCTTAGAAGAGACTGAATAATGGCTTGTAAGTAAGCTGAACATCTCTTTTCTGTTTGCTCCTAGACTCCACTTCTTAGGAGAATATATTGCATTGCCTGTGTTTTCTTTTCCAATACTACTTGTACTACTCAGCCAATGAATATTTAGAGAATTGATGAAACTGCTTCTCAGTAATAGAGGCTTTAAAATGTCCCTTAGAGTATAAGATTAACTAGAAGTGTTATTAACACTGGGGACAGACAGACAACAGAGTCTTTTTGAGAAGTAGTCAGGGCCCAGAAATAGAGACTTTGAAGTTTAGTGTACTTGTTGTATAATCTTTGTTGTATAATGTTAAAGAATGTCTTTTGATTACAGTTGCTATTACAGTTTAAAACTGCAACTTACTTAGGAATGTGATCATTTTCATTTTGAAGAAGGGCAATACTTGTTCTATGTAGCCCTGGCATTAGCTATGTAGACCAGGCTGGCCTCGAACTTACAGAGATCTTCCTGCCTCTGCCTCCCAAGTACTGGGATTAAAGGTGTGCACCACCAACGCCTAGCTACATTCTTATTTTTAATTTAATATGTTTTGGTGGTGCCGGGTACTCAACCAAGGCCTTACACACGAGAGACTGAAGCTTTTCCTATTTATTTATTATCTTAACTCAGTTTGCTTTTCATCTTTCTACTTTTTCCGTAAGATTCAGGGTTTGACCCTTCAGACACTGTCGGGGCTATAAGCCACAGTGGCATGCAGTAGCGAATACAGCTGTTCTGAGCCTCAGAAGACAGTACAGTTATGTGTGTTCTGCCTTTCCCTTAGGAGTGTGTGCCTCTTGATGCAGGTTTCAATGCCCTGTGTTCTGTTTGCTGCTTCTCCATCGGAGCTTCGCTTGAAAGGCGGAACTAACGCTGAGATGGCACCGCAGATAGATTACACCATGATGGTAAGGGGTGACCTCTTGCTCTCTCTTTAAATATGGCTGGAATATTTTCGTGGACATTCCTGTTGAGGCATGCTTTCTAGTCCTAGCTCAGGAGAGGGAACAGAGTAAGGTTTACTTTAGGGTTTGCGTTATAAATTAGGATAGTGTTCAGACTGAAGTTTTTAAGGACCTGAAAGTATAATTATATAAATTACATCAGTTGTGATATAAATCACCTATTTTTATTTCGTATTGATGTGCTTATAGGGAAAAAAATGGTACAGGTTGAATGTACCACTGAAATATTAAGTGTGCCAGAATTTCAGCCAGTGAGATGCTCAGTGGGTAAAAGCACTTGCTATGCACGCCTAGTTCAGCCCCAGAACACGCAGCAGAAGGCCAGAGCTGACCACCACACCAGTGCAGGGGCGCATACACCCTTCCTTCGAGGAACACAAGTGGAGCATTTTCCACCTGACTTCATGAGATGAGCAGTGAGCACAACCCAGGTGCAGGTGGCATTCATTGACTCGGGCTCTGTATATAATGAGTATGAAACATAGGTGAATTTCATGTTCAAATCCCATCGCTGTGTGTGTGCAAATACTACAAAATCTGAGAAAATCAGAAGCTCAGAGCACTTGTGGGTCTGAGATTTTCAGGTAAGGACATTCATTCTGTACCAGTGTGTTTTTTTTTTTCTCTAGGTTTATTGTGGCATAATTTGTATCATGAATAGTAAAAATGGAGAGACACATACTGGGGTTCAGTCTGAATATCAGAAAAACAAAGCAGCCAACCACTAGAGAGTTCTTACCTCTAATAAGGCTGGGGTGATCCTGTCCTCAGAGTGACTGCAGATGGAATACCCTGAGCTCCTGTCTTACATTACCATCTAGTGCTGGGATTAAAGGTGTGTACCACCACTACCCAGTTTCTATGGCTAACTAGTGTGGCTGCTGGGATTAAAGGTGTGTGTCACCACTGCCTGGCCTCTATGACTGTGACTAGCTTTGCATTCTGATCTTCAGGCAAGCTTTATTAGATCATAAACAAAATATCACCACAATAATTTTTTACAATTAAATTTATCCCTTTGAATGTAGTTTTAGGAATTTTGTACATATAGATACCTGTGAACCAATTTCCATACCTAAAATGTGGAATAGTTTTATTTTTAACAAATTACATACCTTTGTAGCTAGTCCTGTCCCAACTCTGGCAACCACTATTCTATTTTCTCTTAGTTTTGCCTTTTTCACAATGTCATTTAAAGTAGTAATGCTCTCTATATAACCGTAGAATTAGGTCTTCTCTTCCTCTTCTCAAGCAGGGTCAGTGTCTCCCAGGCTGGCCTTGAGTTGTTGTGTAGGGAGGGTGACCTTCACTTCCGATGCTCCTGCTTCCACCTACAGAGTTAGAGTTGCAAGTGTGCACCACCGTGGCCAGTTTAGGCCGGAAAATGTTATGAATCATAATGTAACATAATTGGTGCAAGCTACTCCAGCCTGCATGCCAGCCAAGTGCGCGTGCTAGCCAAGTGCTCTACCAACCGAACTCCCGTGCCAGCTCCTGGATCTAGTTTTTTTTTACTTACGTAATAAATTTTAGACTCGGTGTTACTGCAGTAAAGGCCAAGTGGCTTTACTTCTGTGAATGCACCAGTTTGCTCATCTGCTCATGAGTTGAAGGCCACTTGAATGGCAGTTTGGAACAACTTCACTACTAAGATGTACAGACACTGCCAAAATATTTTTCAGCCCTGTCATTTTTGTGACCCCATGACAGCTACTTCTCTGGCATCCTACCCAGCAGTAGATGGCCTCTGTGCTTAAGTCCGTCCGTCCCCCCCACTTGAGATTTTGAAATGTTTTGGGAAGAAACCCAGGGCTTTATACATGTTAGGCAAGTGCTCTGCCCTGGGCTCTATCACCACTCCTGTCTTTGGAAGAAACAATACAGAACTTTAGTGCTCCCTATACCTCCTACACACATGGAGATAGCCTAGAGAAAGGACCCAGACTTTCGAGAGGATGGCATGTGTTTTCCTGGGCTCCAGGCTTAATTACCGTCTCCTGAAGTACTGCCAGTCTGATGGATGTCATCATCTATGCCTTCAGTGTGCTGAGATGTGTCATGAAAGTCTTTTCCTTTACGTAGTAATTCACATAGAGGAAACTACCCAGTATAAGTTACTGTGAAGGGCTAGGGTTAAAGATCCTTGAGCATAGCCTTGTATGCACTGAGATGTGTCATGAAAGTCTTTTCCTTTACGTAGTAATTCACATAGAGGAAACTACCCAGTATAAGTTACTGTGAAGGGTCAGGGTTAAAGATCCTTGAGCATAGCCTTGTATGCACTGTGATATCATTGTATGGCATACTAGGCACTACACTTTAGAGCACCGATTCTCAACCTGTGGGTCACAGCCCCTTATGGGGTCGAATGTCAGATATTCTGCATATCAGTTAGTTACATTATGATTCATAACAGCAGCAAAATTATAGCTATGAAGTAGCAATGAAGTAATTTTATGGTTAGGGGTCGCCACCTAAGCATAAACTGTATTAAAGGATCACAGTATTAGGACGGTTGAGAACCACTGCCTTAGAGGAGTGTTCAATAAATTCTGCTCAGGTGTCATGCTATTTAAATATTTCTTGGGAAGAATTTAGGATGTCATGAAAAAATGTTTCTAATATGAAATGAGATAAGGCGAGGGTGAAGTGTCTGTCTAATAAGACTTCAGTAGTATTGAGAAACAATGCATAATGGAAAACTGATCACCAGCGAGCGCCCTCTTGTATTTTTAGTGCACACTTTGATACCGTCTGGGATTATTAGACTTGCACAGTCCTGTTTAACTAAATGTTAAACGCATAGCTGTGTAACAGATTTTTCCTTTGAGCAATAGAATTTGTCTCAGTATTTGTTGTCCCTGTGTATCTGTGGCACCATCTAATAATTGAACTTGGTGGGAGAGGGTCTTGGCCCTACCCCAACCTGTTATGCCAGATTTTGTTGACTCCCCGTGAGAGCCCATACCTGTGAGGAGTGGATTGGGAGTGGGCTGGGGGAGGGGTGCAGGAAAAGATGTGGGAGGGAGAATAATGAGAAAAACAATTGAACTTGGTGAGTCTTCATAGTAGTGGCTAAAGTAACAACTTGACTTTTTCAGGTTTTCAAGCCAATCGTTGAGAAATTCGGATTCAAATTTGATTGTGACATTAAAATGAGGTAAGTTATGCACTTCTTAGTGCCCCACCCTTCTGATGGCAATGCTGGGGACCCAACCCAGGGGCTTGTGCCTGCCAGGCCAGTGCCCGGTCTATGAGTTACATCCCTAGCCCTTAACCTTTTTTTTTTTTTTTCCTTCTTCAGTTTTTCAGGATAAGGTTTCTCTATATAACTGTCCTGGAACTCACTCTGTAGACCAGGCTGGCATCAAACTCACAAAGATCCTCTTGCCTCTGCCTCCTGGATTAAAGGTGTGCACCACCACCTCTGGCTTCTTGATAAGTTTCTTACAGAAAGTAATTCTGCTTTGTGGATTAGAGATAACATGTAAAGCTATGGGACCTTACCAGCCTGGAGAGAAATATTTTCATGGGAATTTCTACATGGATATTTTTATAACTAATGTTATCCTCTCCTGTATTATCCACTCCTGTGTTATCCAATCCCGTGTTATCTGTGCCTGTATTATCCATGCCTCTGAACAGGCAAAGAGGTCGCTGTGTGGACAACTGCACCAGACACTCTGGGGTCATAAGAGACTGCTCCACAGCGTAGTCGGAACTGAGTTCCTGAGAAAGCCCAGCCTTTAGGGATGTCTCTGCACGGCTGTCCTCTGCTGTTCAGTAACAAGAGTAAGGTGTTCAGCCTGGAGCTTAATGCTGATGGTCTCGCCCCAGTTTTCTCTCAAGTTTCATCTTCCCTCCCGCTTTTAAGTTGTCACAGCCTGACTTGGTGGTTGCCTGCTTCTTAAACTGCTTTGCCCCACGTTATCTATCACCTGCTCACTTAAAACCATATTTGAAAATAGGAAGTAATAATTTCTATTTGGCCAGGAGGTGGTGGTGCAAGCTTTTAACTCCAGTACTTAGAGGCAGATGGATCTCTGTGAGTTTGAGGCTGGCCTGGTCTACAGAGCGAGTTTCAGGACAGCTAGGGGGCTGTTACACAGAGAAACTCTGACTCAGAAAAACTACAATAAATAAGTAACTAGTTAGAAATAATAATTCCTATTTGGACTGTTGATAGATGCACCCATGCTTACTCATCTGTTGGTACGTCCTTGCAGCCATACTTACAATCTTAGTAGATTGTAAACCACGTCATCTCCTTACCAAATGGAGATTCTTAAGGATGGAAGGTGCTTCTCAGCATCTGCAATCAATGAGTAGAGCTGAGCTAAAAGTTTATTAGTGGGGGCTGGAGAGATGGCTCAGCGGTTAAGAGCACTGACTGTTCTTCCAGAGGTCCTGAGTTCAATTCCCAGCAACCACTTGGTGGCTCATAACCACCTTGAATGAGATCTGGTGCCCTCTGCTGGCATGCAGGCAGAAGACTGTATACACAATACATAAATAAATAAAATATTAAAAAAAAAGTTTATTAGTGTTCAGCGACTTCAATATTATTCATCAGGTGTTAGTCTGAGTGCTTCTCATATGCCTGCTGTTGTTTTAGGCCTGGAAGATAGAAACTAACAGAGTCAATGTTGCAGAGCTTATGCTCTCAAACAGCTCTCCGAGTAGAAGTTGCTTATATTGAGGAAAATGTTCTATGCTATCTTAAATAGTTATCACTGTGCTGTACCCTTTAAGCCCCTGAAATAGTCTCACGTAGCTGGGACAATGATTTCTTTGAGCTCTGTGGGTTGAACCCAGGGCCTCCTGTTCACATACTAAGTATGCATTCTTCCTCGGAACTATACACTAGTCACGTATATCTTTTCTTTATTTTTCTTTTTTTTTTTTTTTGGTTGTACAAGACAGGGTTTCTCTGTATTGTTTCGGAGGCTATCGGTCCAGCCCGGCCTCGAACTCACAGAGATCCGCCTGCCTCTGCCTCCCGAGTGCTGGGATTAAAGGCGTGCGCCACCACCGCCCGGCAGTCACGTATATCTTAAGAGCACAGGGGACATCCAGAGACTGCAAATATTATTTAGACCTTTTCATGAATTTCTACAATTTATATACCTTTTGGTATCATTCCTGTTACTTTAATGTATTGTCAAGCTTAACTTTTTCATGTACTCAGTTACGAAGTAGGTATTTGTTCTACTTTTCCTAGGGGCTATTACCCAAAAGGGGGTGGTGAAGTGATTGTTCGAACGTCACCAGTTAAACGGTTGGACCCAATAAATCTGACTGATCGTGGCTCTGTGACCAAGATTTATGGGAGAGCTTTTGTTGCTGGAGTTTTGCCTTTAAAAGTAAGTTGACTTAATGCTCTGTGTCTGAACACCTTGATATTACTACAACATTGAATTTTTTGTGAATATTCTTTTTTTCTTTCAAAATATGAGTCTCAGCCAATTTGAGGTTTTGTTTGATTATTTTTCTTCCTTTTTGAGGTTTTTGTTGTTATTTAAAACAGGATCTCACAAATAACCCAGGCTTTCTGGAACTTACTGGGTAGGTCGGATGCACTTGAACATTCAATGCTCCTCCTGTTTCCGCCTCTAAAATGTTGTTCGTTTAATTTTCAGAATGGGGACTCGTGTAGCTCTGTGGCTGGTGACAGCCTTGAAATTACAGGCCCAGTAAACCCAGGATTTATGTGAGCTAGGCAAACACTACCACCTGAGCTACATGCCCAGCCTGAGAGTGTTTGTTTTTAATCCTGTGTATTTCTTTTGTGTGGGTAGGGATTGGCCTGCGTTCCATGGCGCACATGTGGGAGGAGGGTGGGAGCACTCGCCACGGTGTGTTTGTGGAGGTAAAGAGGTCAACCTGCAGGAGCTATCTCTCTCCCTCCACCATGTGAGTCCTGCAGGAACCATCTCTCTCCTCCACCATGTGAGTCCTGCAGGAACCATCTCTCTCCTCCACCATGTGAGCCCTGCAGGAACCATCTCTCTCCCCCACCATGTGAACCCTGGGGCTCTGACTCATGGCAGCAGGTGCTTTACCCACTGAGCTGTCTCAACCAAGATGACCCAAGAAACGTTTTTATTTTGTCTGAGACAGGTCTTACCATGTAACTCTGGCTGGCTTGGAACTCATCATGTACACCAGGCTGGCCTCAAACTCTACTTCCTTTTGTCTTCCAAATGCTGGCATTGAAGGTGCGCCCCATCCTGCCTAGCAGAACTTATTTTTTTAAACTCTTTTTTTTTTTTTTTTTTTTTTTTTTTTTGAGATAGGTTTGTGTAGCCCTGACTGTTCTGGCTCTCACGCTGTAGACCAGGCTGGCCTGGAACTTACAGAGATCCCCTGCCTCAGCCTCCCAAGTGCTGGGATTCAAGACATGCGCTGTCACTGCCCAACTTGTAAACTTTGTTTTATTTTATTATTATTTTTTTTGTGTGTGTGGGTATTTTATTTTGCCTTCATGCATATCTGTTCCATTTATACGTAGTGTCTTCTGAGGCCAGAAGAAGGTGTCAGATCCCTTTGGGACTGTAGTTACAGATGGCGGTGAGCTGCCATTGGGTGCTTGGGATCAAAAGTGGGTCCTCTGGAAGGGGAGACAGTGTTCTAACTGCTGATCCATTGCTCCAGCCCCTAGTTTATTTTATTTTTATGTGTCTGAGTCCTGCCTTCATGTATGTGTGTACACTGTGCCTTGTGCCTGCAGAGGTCAGCAGAGGAGGTGGAATCCTCTGAGACTGGAGTTAAGGGATGGGTGGGAGCCACCATGTCCATGCTGAGAGCTGAACTCAGAGCCTCTGCAAGAACAGCCAGTGCTCTGTTAACTGCTGAATGATCACGCCAGTTCCCCAGAACTTAATGTGAATGTTTTTTCTTTTAAAATTTTCTTGAAAGTCAGGGCTCTCTCTAGAAGTTTTAAAATGATGCATGGAAAAATTAACCATGTTACATAATTTTGGAGCATTGAAAGCAATTGTGGCAGCCAGGGCTATGTAACAATGAAACCTTATCTTGAAAATTAAAAAGAAAAGAAAAAAGATTAACAAAGTTTAAAAACAAATTGTCCAGATAACTGGTGACGAATTTGTTCTCCCCTTCTGATTTGCCAAAATAGGTAGCAAAAGATATGGCAGCGGCAGCCGTGCGATGCATCAGAAAGGAGATCAGGGATCTGTACGTCAACATCCAGCCTCTACAGGAGTCCAGGGACCAAGCCTTTGGCAACGGGAGTGGAATCATGTGAGAGCATGGACTTAGACATTGTCCTGAAGTCATTATCCATCTAAGAGTGGAAGGGCTTTTGCTCGGCTTAGGGTTCTACAGCAGATTTGTAAGAACATTTCTACCTAAAGCAACAGTTTAGTGAATTACTGTGATTATTCTGGCGGAAACTTGGTGTCACATGACTGTAGGCCCCAAACTCAAGAGACAGGGACAAGAGTCACAGGTTTGAGGGCAGCCTAGACTTGGGCTGCATAGCAAGCTTAAAGGTAGTTTGGGTTCTTTGTCAAGACCAGGCTGACCTCGGATTGTCAGCAATCCTGGTGCCTCCCCTCCTAGGTGCTGGCATTAGAGACGTGAGCTAACTGGTAAGATACCATTTAAATAAAGGACTTGGACTTCCTTGGATTTCAGTGTCTTTGTGCAGATCCTGGAATGAACTCCTCATGAACACTGAGGGACAGTTGTGGTCAACTTAAAAAATTTTTAAGATTTATTATTGTAGTTACGTATATGTGTGTCTTCATGTGGGTATGTGTATGTGAGTGCAGGCATCTATGGAGTACAGACGAGAGCATCAGGTCTAAGTTCTAAGCATCTAGAGTTCTAAGCACTTGGGAGCTGCCCTAAGTGGGTGCTGAACTTGGTTCCTCGGCAAAAAACAGTTTTCTTAGCTACTGAGCTGTCTCTCTAGCCTGTTGAAATGAAATATTTAAGCTAATCAGAAATAATCTTTGAAAATAATGCTAACAGAAATGTTTTTAAGATACCTTAAGTATGAAATTAATTTGCAAATAGTTATAGTAATGATGTCTTTAAAAATATTTTTAATCCAGTTAGGAATTAAGTTATAAAAATTCTTTATTTGATGTTTTTGAAGTGTAGAAGTACAGTATTTTGTGGATACTTACATTTCAATCCACTTTATTCAGAAATTTACAAAGTTTAAAGGAAGTGCTTGCATTCTTTGATATAGTACTATGTAATAAAAACCTAGCGTAAAGCTCAAGGCTGTGAGAAGACCTTTTTATTTAAGATGACCACAGAGTGCTTTGTAACACTGTGTGTTCGTAGCCACTCAGTGCTGATGACAAAACACCCTGTGGTGAGGGTGGTGGCACTCTTTACATGTGAGTGGGTTAGAATCTGCTGACACTTTTCCCAGAGGAGTCCTATTGCTCCGAGAGGACCCATGGGTGATTGTCAGTGGGAGGAGTTTCACTATTGTAGTGTAGTGACCAGATTCAGTTTTGCTTGTTTAACCGTAACTTGTCTCTTGTATTGCATTTATTTGAAATCCAGAGTGTTACAGTGTGGGTAATTATACCTTTTTCCTCCTGTGTAGCATTGTTGCTGAGACATCTACTGGCTGCTTGTTTGCTGGCTCATCTCTTGGCAAAAGAGGTAAACCTGAAGGAGGGGGTCTGTAATTCCCACTGTCACTAAAAACATCAGTATCTCTTCAGGGTAGACTGTCGAGAACGATGACTGACATTTAAAAGACAGGGTCGACCGTAAAAGTTAGCAGATTTTTCATTTCTCCCAACTTTGTATCTTGAGGAAATTTCTGACCTCAAGTCTGAGGGTGTAGTCATTCACACACCCTCTCCTAGGTGTCCCAGTTGTGAATATTTAGCTCCTGTCATGTACATTTCTGAACTGTTCCAGCATTCAGTCATGAAACTGCAGCCTGCATTTCCCAATACTCACAGTCACAATGCCAGCGTTACCTGAAGAATTTGTTACATGGACATACCCACACATTAACTTAAGTTGCCTAGAAACAGTGTGGGACGGGTTTATTTACTTATGTTCACATAGTCACATAGTATTGGGCTGTCGTGATTATTGACTCTTTTATTCTACTTTATTGTCAGATAAGGTCCGCCCTTTTTGGCCTGGTAGTCACTGTGTAGCCCAACCTGGCAATCCTGTCCTAGTTTTCCAAGTGCTGGGATTGCAGGCGTGTGCCACTGTGTCCTGCTGGGTCTTTCTTTAGTACAGGATTCATTCTCACGATACTGACATTTGGAGCAGTTCAGGACATTTTTCTCAACAGAATTCCTCAAAGTTTGGGTTTGTCTGGTTTGTTTCATGCTCAGGGATTTCCTGTGAACATTTTAAAGAGGGATCTTGCAAAGATGATTTCATGTACAGCTTTTCTGGACAATTTTCTCATAGTGTGTGTGTACACCCAGTAAATGTTAAGATATAAAATACAAAATTGCCTTATACTGAGTTTCTAAGAAATTTTATCTGCAGCCAAGGATTTCTCTTAAAGAATATGGTAGAGTTTGACTTTCGTTACTTCTGATAGACTTATTTTGTGTTCTTCTTTGTACTAAAGACTTAGGATGCATAGAAAAGTAGGAAATAGGAGAAAAAGGACATACTCAAGATGAGTTAAGACATGTGGGATCTTTTGTTTGGGATTTGTCGTCGTATGTAATGGTGTCTTGCCCTGAAGCCCATGCTGACCTCTGACTCACGCCTCCTGTATCAGCCTCCCTAACTTCTGGTTCCAGCAGTGAAAGAGACTAAACTTTAAATGGTTGCTCTGAGAATGTCACCTGTTCTTTTTTAAGATGATATTGAAAAATCATTCAATTCAGATGAAATTTTCTGTAACTAATTGTAACTTGTGTATCACAAGTTTTAGATTGGAAGCTGAGGTATAGCTTTGGGTTATAACTCTGTTATAAACTTATAATGAATTTTTAAAAGATTAAATTGTATGTATGAGTGCTTTGCCTACATGTATGTCTATGCAGCACTTTTGTGCCTGGCACCCCAGGGAGGTCAGAAGAGAATGTTGGATCCCCTGGAACTAGAATTACAATTATGAGCTATCATGCGGGTGCTGGGAATTGAACCTGGGCCCTCTGGAAGAGCATCCAGTGCTCTTTGACTGTGTGCCCGTCTTCAACCCCTGCTTTTTTGCTTTTGTTGTGGTTTTGTATGTGTTGTTGTGTTTTCGTAGCTCTGGGTAAGCCTTACACGTGCAAGGTGGCGCACCCCAACCATGAGTACTATTTTTAAGAGATGCACGCCACAGAGCACACGTGGAGGTCAGGAGTCTGTTGTCACCGTGTGGATTTTGGGACTTGAACTTGGGTCATTAGGCTTGACCACTTTACTGATTGGACCATCTCACTCGCTCCATAATTAATATTTTTTAAGCAGACACAAAACAACCTATTTTTTTCCTACTTGTGCATTGACACATTGGCATTTCTCAAGTTTCAGAAGATCAAATAATGTAAGATCCTTCCTAAAAAGTGCATTGGTTAAGTCCTGAGCCTAAAATCATGTTGCCTCAGTGCTAACTGTGATGTATCAAATAAACTTTCTGGTTGCTTTTCTGGGATAGAATTCCACTCTGTAGCCTAGGCTGGCCTTGAACCTGGAACAATCCATGTAGCTTCCCAAGTGCTGAGATTTTAAGGGTGTATCACCTTATTCAGTTCAGTTAAACTTGGTGACTTACCTGTTGTTACTTTCTTATTATTGCACCTGATGTTTTAGGTGTGAATGCAGACAAGGTTGGAATTGAAGCTGCAGAAATGCTATTAGCAAATCTGAGGCATGGTGGCACTGTGGACGAGTATCTACAAGACCAGGTAATGACAATGACACTTTCAGGATCCAAACCATCTTTCTTGCTAGATTTGAACACAATTATGTTGAATACAGATTTCTTAAATGTGGCATTAAGTGGACGAGACACATTTGTCTCGTTCTCTTGATCTCGGTGCAAGGTATTTCCAGTCTAGATGTGTCTATACTGGAACTTTGTTTTTGAGACAGGAGCTTGCTTTCCAGCCCAAGCTAACTTTGAATTTTTAATATGTACTTAAAAGTTTTCTGTTAGAATTTATATTTCTTGCCAGGCAGTGGTGGTACAAACCTTTAATCCTAGCACTCGAGGGGCAAAGACAGAGGCAGATGGATCTCTGTGAGTTTGAGGCCAGCGTGGTCTACAGAGCTAGTTGCAGGACAGCTAAGGCTGTTAGACAGAGAAACCCTGCCTGGAAAGACAAAACAATAGAAAAAATTGTATTTCTGGAATTTGAGTCCCTGCCCTTCTTGGCCTGGCTTTAGCACACTTGCTTTCTTCTTGGTGTGCTTTCTCTGCTTGGATCAGAAAAGCTCTTCTCTCCTCTTCTGGTCACTTTGCTAGTTAGTTGCTGTTTTCTTCTTGTCAGTTTTAAAGCGCCCACGGCTCCTGCTTTCTTACCTGTCTCTCCTTCCTTGGTTACGTTTTCCAGTCTGATGACTTAAGTACCAGTTGTGTAGGGACAACTCCCAGATCCGCTACTGCCCAGACCTTTCTTAGTGCTCATCGTTACTTCCCTGTTAATACGCTGGCTGGGATATGTCACGCCTTCTCAGGGATGGACCCCCATCGGGACACCCTTGAACGCTTATTCCTCCACTCTGCTTTTGAGACAAGGTCTCTCTGACCTCACACTGGCTGTCCCGCCTCAGCCTCTGAAGCGCTGGGATGGCAGACAGGTGTGCACTGCCCGGCCTGGCAGAGAAGTGTTTCTATGCTTCGCTGCCTGTGTGTTTTCCTCTCTACCATACCGTCCTCTCAAGTCCCCAGTCTGCTGTTAGAAACGTGTGCTGCTGGTGGAAGAGCTCTTGCCCAGCAGGCCTAGAAGCATGTGGTTGATCCTCAGGACGAAGAAAACCGAGGCGAGGAAGGGTTCTTCAGGTTTTCTTGGGACAATTTTCCTTCTGTTTAGTTATTGCCTTCCTGTCTAAGTTCATATTCCCAGGAATTCTGTAGTCTCCATTTGCCTTTTGAAATGTAATTTTAGCAGAACAGAAAAACTTGCCATGTATGCCAGCTGGCAGAAATATGTGGTCTAATTAGTGTATCAGTGTCCAGCTCTCTATTTTATTCTAAAACATAGATTTAAAAGTCAGTCTGGCTAAACATTCATCAAGTCACAGACTCTGGTTAACACATACTCTCTGTCCCCTTCTAAAGCTTCTGGAAACATAAAGGAAATTGCTTTTTTAATTCCTTTTAAGAGCTGTTTTGATTTCTAATAACATTTACCTTATTGGTGGTCGTAGAATTTGAAATTTTGAGTATTACCATATTTGTGAGATTTTTCTTCTTGGTTCTTTTTTAATAGCTGATTATTTTCATGGCGCTAGCCAATGGAATTTCCAGAATAAAAACAGGACCAGTTACCCTCCACACACAGACTGCAATACATTTTGCTGAACAACTAGCAAAGGTGAGTATTGTGTTGGAAAGACCAACTGGGTTAATAAGCAGGAAACTCAGTAGTAATCGCACCACTCACGGGCTCCCTGCACGGCGGACTCTTAGCTACCTCAGCATCTGTCTGTGTCGAACTCTGTGCAGCCATGGTGGGTGCCGTGAGTATAACAAGGCAGAGAGTAGATTGCTTTAGGCCTATAGTTCTTGTTCGCAGCGGGTTTGAGCACACTAGGAGGGCGTTTTTGTAGGCTCCATGGTTCTGCAGCCGTCAGTGAAGGTATTCTGCTTTTAATACTGTGTGAGCTCATGTTTATACCTTTTCTTCATGTGAAACAAATGTAAATTCTTTGTAGGACATTTGTAAAATATTTCCTGAGGCCAGTGAAGCCACTGTTGAGTTTTTTCTTCTCCTCAGATTGCTTCTCACTGGTTTTTTTACTATGAATACATACAACAACTACTTCTTTTCCTTTCCCAGTACTGTAGCATATTCTTATTTTGGAATTTCTTTTTTTTTTTTTTTTTTTTGCATGGTTTTAGTTTTGTTTTATTGAGTCAAGGTCTCGGTCTCTATTTTGGGCTGGCTTTGAACTTCCTAGGTAGACCAGTAGAACTTGTGGGCCTTGTGGGATACAGCAGGAGCCACCACACCCAGATGCTATACTATGTAATATAATTCTGTAAAATTTATGACTCAAATTTTATGAAGTTGCTGATTTTTTTGAAATTATAAAAGTAATTCACATGTGGCATGGTAGTGAATGCCTGTAATTCAACATTTGGGGGTCAGAGGTCAGCTCTGTCTACATGGTACATTTCAGGCCAGCCTAGGCTATAAGGTAGAGACTCTTTCAAAGCAAGAGCAATAAAAAGATTATAGCTGGCCCATGGTGGTGCACACCTTTAATTCCAGGGAGGCAGAGGCTGTGTGTTTTAGTCCAGCCTGATCTACAGAGCTAGTTCCAGGACAGCTAGGGTTGTTACACAGAGAAATACTGTCTCGAAAAACAAAACAAAACAAAAAGGTTATAAAAGAACTACACATTCCAGGCATTGGTGGCACTCACCTTTAATCCCAGCACTTTGGAGGCAAAGGCAGGTGGATCTCTGTAAGTTCGAGACCAGCCTGGTCTACAAGAGCTAGTTCCAGGACAGCCTCCAAAGCCACAGAGAAACCCTGTCTGGAAAAATTCGAAAAAAACAAAACAAAACGAAACAAAAAAATTGTGATCATGGTTTCCCCTCTTTCATTTATTCCCAGATCCTCTCCACCTTCTCATGCTTCCAATTCAACACCTTTCTTAAGAAAACAAGCAAGCAAGCAAAAAATACAAATAAAGCAAACTGAACAAAATAACAAACAGCACAAAAAGAAAGGGATAAAAAAAGAAGCAAAGAGCACGAGAAACACACACACACACACACACACACACATACACACATATACATACACACATACACACACATACACATACACACATACACACACATACACACACATACACACATACACATACACACACACAAACACGCATACACACACACATACACACACACACACACACACACACTAAAGAACCTTCTCCATGAGCCTGTCATGGTGGTGCATGCTTTTAATTCTAGCACTTGGTAGGTAGAAGCAGGAGGATCACGAGTTCAGGGCCAACCAGTGCTATTTAACAAGACCCTGTGTCAAACACCGTCTTCACTCCCTCTATCACCCAAAGTAATTCCATAGCCAAGTAGAAATTCAGCATCAGAGTTGTGGAGGAGCAAAGCTGTCACCCTGCTTTTTCTTTCTTTACAACTTTACAGTTCTTTACAACTGCTCTGGTTTTAGTTGTTAACGTTGTAAGGAATAGATAGACTTCAATTAATTTAAAAATAGCCTGCTGAGAACTGAAGGCAGATAGTATCTGATGACAAGAGTGAATTAACTGTTTTATAATATCCTTGGTTCCCTTGTTTCTTGCTTTTTGTTTTTTTGGGTTTTTTTTGTCCTAGGAATCCAAACCAATGATTTGTGCATGTCGGGTTAGCATTCTGTCACTGAGCTTCATCTTATTATTGTTCTAATTACATATTTATTTTTATTTTATATTTATGGATGGTTTACCTGCATTTATGTCTGTACCTCATTTGTACCTGCTTTTCTGGGAAGCCACAAAAGGGTGTCTGACCCCCAGGAACTGGAGTTATAGGTGATTGTGAGCCTCCATGTGGGTGCTAGGATTGAATCTGGGTCCTCTATAAGAACAGCCAGTGCTCTTAAGTGCTGAGCCATCTCTTCAGCCCCCTTCACTTACTTTTATTTCTACGTATGCTGTATTTATAGTTATTACTCATCGCCATCCTAGATTGATGTCCTTGCTAGTTGGTATCAAGTTTTATTCATTGTACCTTCAGTTTTACAGTACATTGTATATTCATGACCACTTACATATTACGTAAGTGAGTACAGAGCAGAAAGTACCCTGAACTGGGGGGGGGGGCGGTTAATGACTTTTGTGTCTTATTGAACTGTGTGTGTGCATGTGTGTGTGTAGTTGGGCGGGAGTAGTTCTTGAAAAGGGGTCTTACTGACTATAACCCAACCTGGCCTCAAACGCAAGATTCGAATGCGAGCTTCTTCTACCTCAGCCTTCTGCCTTCTACATGCTGGGCTTACAGGTCTTTACCACTGACATCTGGCTTTTTTTTTTTTTTTTTTTTTTTGTATATGTGTGGTGTTTTTCAAACAGGGTTTCTCTGTGTAACCTTGGCTGTCCTAGAACTCACTTTGTTGTTGACCAGGCTGGCCTTGAACTCACAGAGACCTGAGTGCTGGGTTTAAGGGTGTGTGCCACCACACCTAGCCTCTTTGTTGTATTTTAACTGGGTGACTTGGGCCAAAGTTTCTTCATTTTTCGGTGCTTAAGTGCAACTAGCTGTAAAAATGTGGGACTTCAAGTAGGTCATCTTTTAGGCTCTGAAGGTATCCTAAGCATAAACTTGAAGTGATTCCCCGTTACTTGTGTTTCCTATTTTCATGTTTGTGATTTGAAAAATACAAACATATAACCACATGGCGAGTTGGGCTCCCTTGCTCCGTGTCCAGTGTTCATTCATCCCAGAGTGACTTTTAGATGCTGTAGCACACGGTTACGTAAACGGAAGCTGAAAGTTGTCAGTAAGACCACAGGATGACGGTTTCAAGTTGTATTTTAGAGACTCCTAAAACTTAAGGCATAATGAATCTCAAGCCTATTCAGTTGTTTTGACCTTAAATTCAGTTTGGTTCAAAGGAACTGCATTTACCTTAAGAATGATACCTCCAGAGCACAGTGACATATCACATATTCTAAAGCCGACTTAGCAAACAAGTGAGAACTAGAGCCTTAAGCTCACTGGTGAATGATATTAGTCACCCTCCGCCTCACTACCATTTCTGAACTAGCTTCTGGAATTATGTATTTAGAGAATTAAATGGCAGGAGAAATTTAATGAGAGTGAATACTGTCATATCTGACAGGTAAGTGATTCCGACTCATGTTTTAGAAAAACAAAGGGGAAGAGAAAAGGTACCGACAGCAGTCGTTGTTTCAGGAGCTGCACATGCCTTGTGTTCCTAGTCAGTGGGCGTGGAGGTGAGCTCGATTTCTCTGTTCTGACAGACTCCACAACAGTGAACAGCAACCATGGTCCTAGGACAAAATAGGCTATTGGATTTCTTCACAAGTCACTTGATTTTTATGTGTGTACCTTCTTCAACAAATGGACTCGATAGTAACTCTGTCTCCTTGGAGTTTTAGAATTGTCCCTCTGTCTTCTTCATGTGTCCCTACATACTGATATTCTGCTTCCAGGCCAAATTTACTGTGAAGAAATCAGAAGAGGAAGAAGATGCCTCTAAAGACACTTACATCATCGAGTGTGAAGGAATTGGAATGGCAAATCCGCATCTCTAGGTGTTTAGCTAAGAGAAACCTCCATGGTGCACTAACGGATTATACATGCTGCGACCGAGTGAATGAGAAGTACGACATTGCAGGACTGCATTTGGGGTGAAGGACAGCACTTGTGGTTGCTGGCAATGCTTCATCGTGTCCCTCTCACCTTGTATATCTCCCCAGATATACACAGTAAAAGATGAAACTGGATGGACGTGACAGTAAATTTCAGTATTAAAGTATTGAAATCAAATATTGTTTACACCTCAAGTATGTGCTGCTGCTTTTCTCTCTTTTTTTAAGGTACTAAACTAAACCAGGGACCTGGATTTGATCTGTAGTTTGTGTTACTGTACTAAACTAAACCAGGGACCTGGATTTGATCTGTAGTTTGTGTTACTAACAACCTCACCTGCAGCTTTACTTTCTGTAGTTTGAGCTACCTAGACTCATCTTTGGTCCTGAAATATTAAGTAGAAAACGTAAGTAACTCATCAGTTTTGAATGCAGCTCCTTTCTGAGAAGTATGATGAAATCACATACCTTCTGTTCTGTGACATGAGTCATCTGTTTATACAGTTTATCAATATTACATATGCCACTTGCTTGCCCATTACACACTTAGTAGCTGCTTGCTTATCAGTTCAATAGTTGCAGTATTACAATGTTTGCATTCAAATGACACTAGAACTAATAAGGGCTCCAGTGTGCGGGAGCAGAGGGACTGGCCATTCAGGTGTACCCAAAAGAAGTGCTTCCGTTAAGTATCTCTAGCAGGTTTGGCCACATTCATCCCAAGCATGTCTGGTTTTGGTTTGGAGTAGTCTGTAGTAGCTGAGTGCCTTAGAACCATCGCTCTCTGCTGCTTCATACCTGGCCAGCATCTGGGTTTGTATCATTCCCTTCTCCCTGTAGAGAGCTGAGGTTGTGGCTCAAGTGATCTGGTTTGATGTTTCAGCTCAGTGTGCTGTGTCTGTCGATGCTGTGTGTAGTTCGTGGAGACATGGATGGATCTGTCTTGGTCCAAGTCAGTCCAGAGAGAGTGTTGAAATATATCCAGGAAGTTTGAATTTATATGTGTGGACCAGTCTACTAGGAGCAAAACATGGTCATTATACCTGCCAGTGGTTTCTTTAGCCTGGGATGGTATTGCTTCATAGACGAAGAATAATTAATTACATATAAATAAAGTAAGTAAGTCTTGTAAGTTGCTCACTCTGTAGTAATTGAGTTATGAGATAGAATTGTATCTTTGGAGTAAAGCTTTTAGAATTATTGTCAAGCAAGGTCTCCTTCAGGCTGGTGTGAGCATCTGCTCGTAAGATGTCGTCAGCAGTGCTGAGGGAACCCGGAGAGCACCCTGGGCATCCGAGCGTGAGACTTACAACTCAACAGCATGGATGGTGAGAGTATGGTTGATGTTGGAAAGGATGCCACTGTTGGCTCTCAACTTTTCAAAAAAGGTAGGACAGCCATGATGCTTGGTTACTCCCTCAGGGAACTGAGTTTGCATTTTTCTAAAACAATCCAGCTCCTATTTTCATTCTAACTTTTTATTTCTGTATTCATAAGAGACCAACAAATACAAATAGGTCTGTGGATTTGACTTAGGACATTACTAGACAGGGCCCTCATACAATCTACACTGGCCATGCGCTCCCTGTTTAGCAGAGGCTGGTCTTGAACTGCTGATTCTCCTGCCTCCACCTCCCAAGTGCCGGTATTACAGCACTAACAACATATCCTAACAGCCTGGCTCTTTAAGAATATTCTAGGGACTGTGATGTAACTCAGTGATAGAGTGTTTGCAATGCATTCATGAGGCCCTGTGTTGAATCTCATGCTCACAAACACTAAAACTAATATTCTTTAAACTCATAACCTTGCTTTTTACCAAGCTTTCGGTTTCTGTTTGCCTGCTTCGGGAGTAAATTTAGAGAACTGGTTTCCAACTTTCCTTGCTTACTTATTTTTCCCTCGAATTGACGTGCCTGAAAGCAGATCAGGTCAGTGGGTTCCTAGCTTCTCCTTCACAACTGCTCTTCTTCCTCTTTACAGAGTCTTTTTTTTTTTTTTTTTGGCTCCATTCTAATATTGCTATTATTTTACCTTGCATTCTCCTAGACTGTAAGAAAATCTTCAGGGCACTAGAAATAGAAACTTCTTTTATTATTCTCTGAAAGCCTACTCAAAGATAACACATTTGTGTCTCTGTATATTATATAAATTGAGCTTTGGTGTTAACATAAGTCATTATTACAACAGTGCATCTGTGAATAAAGCTAATGTTTATGATTATTAGGAACATTTTTTGAAAGCCCATTAGATTATCTATTATGTATGTGAGCATGTGGTATATGTGTGGGGGGGAGGGTGCTCCATCTGGATGCCAGAGGTTGACATGAGGATGCCTGCCTGAGGAGTTAGGGTTATAAGCACCAACCTTGGAACTGAGTGGTTGGTGGCACACACCTTTAATCTCAATACTCAGGAGGCAGAGGCAGGTAGATTTCTGAGTCGGAGGCCATCCTGTTCTACAGATTGAATTCCAAGACAGCCAGGCCTACACAGAGAAACCCTTTCATGAAAAACCAACCAAACAAACATCAAAAAACCCCAACCCATCCCAAAGAACCAAAACAAGCAACCCACCCCCATCCCCCAGAAAACATCAAACTTGGGTCCTCTTGAAGAACAGCAAGTGCTATTAACCTCGAGCTGTCCCTCCAGAACATCACAACAGCTTTTTACCTGTGTGCGAAGGATCTGAGTGTGGATCCTCCTGTTTGCACAGCAAGCACTCTACCCACTGAGCTAGGCCCCAGCCCGTTAGCAAGCTTAAGCTCTTTAAAAATCAAAAACAACTGGTGGACTTTGGAAGTACAGTGCTGACTGTGGACACGCTTCTTTGGTTTCCCTTCTTCCCACCAGATGGAAAAAGTGAAGGCTCAGTAACGTAGCAGGGATATCTGATGAGCAATCCTCGCAGTTTAAGACCCCTGTTTGCTTGGTAACTTTATGCTGTTACTCCCACCACATGTTGCTTCATTCCAGCAATCCATCCATGATGGCGGGTCTTAGTTTGGAAACAAAAAAACCACACCACTTAATAATATAGTTCCAATAAAAAATTTTTCTCTTTTTTTTTTTTTGTACGTTTCAAAACAGAGTCTCACTGTGTAACTCTGGATGTGATGAAACTTCCTATGTAGATCAGACTGGCCTTGAACTCACAGAGATCCACCTTCTGCCTCCCAAGAGCTGGGAATAAAGGCATGTGCCACTGCACCCAGCCAAAATATTATTTATGTTTAGTAATTTTAGAATATTTTTATGATCAATTGGCTAATTTTATCATTGAGTCAATATTTAAATGTTTTGAGTCTACTGTTTACTGAAAATTTAAAAATTTTAAAAATGCAAAGTAATATACATGAAAAAGCACACATATATAGGCACCAAAAAACAAAACAAAACAAACAAAAAAAACAGTCTGATAGATGAGTATCTGACTTCCTAGTGATAGTTCACCTCGCCCAAAGCAGAGTCTCCGTACAGCAAAGGAGGGAGGAGAGACCAGGACCTCCTGTCTCCTCTGTGTTTAGATTAAAATGAACATTAAGAGCAATAGTGAAAGGAAAATGTTAATATGTGGTCTTTGTAGATGCCAACAAGGTGAGTGTGTGAGTAGTGTTTTGTTAACACAAGCTGGAGTTATCTTGGAAAGGAAAACATCAATTAAGGCATCACCTCTACCAGACTGGCCTGTGGGCAAATCTGTGGTGGCACTTTCTTGATTAATGATTGATGTGGGAGGGCCCAGCATGCTGTGAGCATTGCCACCCCAAGGTAGTCAATGATGACTTGTATAAAAGTAAACTGAGCAAGCCATCGGGAGCAAGTCATTAAGTGCATTCTTCCAGGATGTCTGCTTCAGTTCCTGCCTCCAGGTTCCTGCTTGAATTCCTGTTCTAACTTCCTTCAATGATGGGTTATGATGGGGACATGTATGCCAGATAACTCCCTTTCTTCCACACTTACTTTTGGTCAGTGTTTTATCATAGCAATAGAAAGCTAACTAAGAAAGTGGAGTAAGATATGGTCATTATATGTGTGCATATATGTAAATTTATCTTATTTTGCAATGCTAGGCATTGACTCCATAGTCTCCCACATCCTAGACAAGCTCCACCATTGAGCTCCATTCCCATCCTGGAGACTTTCAAATCAATACTACCTCTCCCTTTCCTATTCGGACCCTAACAGGTATCTTCTGTGGTCATAATTGGACAGCAGTATGGACACCTCACTTAATACATGCGAAGTTCAGATGCCCTACAGTACCTCAGAGACACAAATGTCTGGACCACTGAGAACTATAGTAACTTTAACCCACTGTTGACCAGACACAGGCAGACTGTTGGCCTGACAGAGTTTGAGAGGCAGGAGTTCAGGGTAGAAACTGAGGCAGTTATCCATCAGGGTTTATTCATGAAGCTTAATCTGAGATTTCTTTACTATTGTGTTTTAACAGTCTCTAATCAAAATTAGCAGGATCAAAATGCTAATTTTGATCTTGCCTATTCTGTAAATGTTACGTTCTTTTATAATTTGGTATTGCAAACAGGTGATCTTCTACCGGAAACTAAGCGATGTAGTCCCTATAAAGTTAAAAGAACAAAGAAGAGACATTGAGGTGGCCGGAGCTTAGAAAGTGCTAGGGGCAGTTAATACTCTTGGGTTAGAAAGACAGAAGGGAGAGGTGCTGGTGCTAGAACTGAGGCGTTGGGAAGCCTCGGGACTGACATGCCTGCTGGGAAAGGCTGCTTTTCAGCAGGTGATGGAGTCTCAGAGCACTGTGGCTGACATCCGGGTGCAACGTGGCAGGTGCTTGCGTGGTTCAGATGGCAAGGCCTGGAAGGTGCAGAGCACAGTGGGGGGTGATCTCTACTGTCCTAGGGACATAGCGAAGGCGTGGCAGGGCAGGCGAGAAGGCTGGAGAGGCGCAGAACCATAGTTTGCTGCTGCAAAGGACCCAAGAGGAACTGGTAGCCCAAAAGTCCTTTCTTTCTTACCTTCTTCCCCTTTCCACCCAGGGCTTCCCCTTTTCAGAAGCCCTAACTGTAAGCCATGTGGGAAGGAGGTCTGGAAATTATAGACAGCACCTCAGCCATGAAATAAGAGTTTGGAGGGGTATGCTTAGGGTTAAGAGACCGATCTACTTGTTCATTCAGCATCTATGATGGTTAATCT